CTACTGACAAAGCTCAATGTGTGCTATTCTTCTCCTAAGAGCTCATTCTTATATATGCCTTCTCCCCTTCACATGCATTCTTATACTTGTGGTCCATAGCCTTAACAATAAGCAAAATGCTTATCCTTTAAAGAAGTAATATTTTCATTTTTTACTTTTACAGCACAAGCTCAGTGTCATTCTTTAATAAAACTTTATAAATGTTTACTAGTAGATATATTTACAGGTAAGGATAGAGTGGCCTTTTGAAAGTGTGTGTAAGGCACATTGATATGGTGTTCAATTTTAAATAAATTTTAATTTGCTTTTAATTATATGATAAATAAATTGGCACAGAGTTCTGTAGTACCATTTTTAGCTTTGGATGATTTCTCAATAATGAAGACAAAGTTTGCTTTTTAGTACATAAGGGGAATGTGCCATGTCTCTAAGACATTAAGCTACTTGAGACAAGAAGCCATCTTCATGGAAACATAATTCCACACATGAAGTAATCAATGCATTTATTTTTTCACTTTTTGACAGTACTGTGTTTTTGCTCAGTAGGGTTCTAATGCTATATGACTAGATTGACACACGGGAATTGATTACATTCAGTAGATATTGTAGATGTTGCTTGGCAGTCGGTATACATGTCCTCAGCTTCCCCCAGTTTCACACACGACCTGTCACTTATCCCACCTTCTCATTGTCTTGGACCTTAAGTGGCTTAGATTGGATCCCTACTTCTGTGCTCACTGTATTGGAATGAAATTGTGCTTCTGCTTCAGTTACCAACTGAGCATTTGGGAAGGAGATTGTATTTGACTTCTGTCACCTGCTACATTGCGTCATCTGTCTGCACATGTTACAGCAAAAGAGAAGTTTTGTTCTTTTACTTTCTGAACTCCATGGTTTCTGTTTCTGTAAGAATGACTCAAGAGTAAAATCATCCACATTCATTACATTTATAATCCCAGAAAAAAAAGTGAAGCGACATACACAATAAGATTTAATTATTTAGCTCCCCGAGCTTCGTATTATAAAACAAAGACTTGGAGCAAAAATCTTAGCACTTTTAGTCACAATGTCTCAAATCCCTCAGTTTCTGCGTGGGTTGGTATAATAAAATCACCAAGGTTTGATCTTATTCACATGACTGCACGATCAGGCTCTGTCTAATCAGAACTGTCACTTCTCTGAAACATGATCACTCAGAAATATAGACAAACCAAACAGATTTCAAAGTTGGGCCTGGGGAAATAACTTGTCTTGCCAAACAAGCATGAGGACCTGAGTTGGGATCCCCAGTACTCATGTGAGAAAGTCAGGGATGGAAGAAATGTAACTCAAACCCGAGAGTAGAGATAGAGAGATAGAACACTACAGTCCCCTGGTCAGAGAGTGTAGCCATTTGGTGAACACCAGGTTCAGTGATGTATTTTCTCTCATTCATTATACATGGTGGAGAGAAATCAAAGAAGGCATTTAATATTGATCTCTATTTCTCTCATCATCCATAGACATATTTCCTCCCACACAGCTGTACCTGAACTTACATAGGCTCATGCATATAACAGCGCACACAAATATGCACACAGAAATATGTACAAACACAAATATATGAATAAATTTGTAAATTAATATTGTTATGTTATACACAACAAATTTAACTTTCAACAAAGTTATTTCTTTAAAGTGATTCAGTTTGACTGGAAGGTGACAGATCTGGGACTAAAAACAAACATGCAAATTTTTATTTTCAACACCGGAACTACTTTCATTGTTTACTTCTGTGAATAGTTGGAGTGATCTCATAATGGTTTAAATGAGCCAGTCTTGATCTTGGTTCTTCAGTTTTTCATCTGTGGTGACTTTTGATCCTGACACTTTCACTATGCCCTCCCGTGAATCATGTCATCACGTGCCACCCATACTTCTGAACTCAGTCTTTAATTGTGAGACTCCACCTTTTGCTACTTGTCTTTGGGCCATTTTAATATTCCTTAAACACAATGGAATTGTTCTTTCCCCCTTGCAAGGTTCTAAAAGTTGTTTTTCTGTAAAATCTATAACATTTCATTTTGCTCTATGGTAATTAAAACAGAATGGAGGCCTTTCATCTCTGCCTTCATTTTGTATCTGTTTCCTTTAAGTGGGAGTCACAGTTCTGCTCAATTCTGCATATTGGTATATTCAAAGTTTCAAGAGAATCTGTCTCAAAACTGGTGATACCTAATGTATCTTTTCTTTTTTGGGGGATTAAACTAAAATATCAAGAGTTAAAAGGCATACTGTCACTTCTACAATGTCTCTAGAATTCCCCAGAAAAAGTCTACTAAAAGTCTATAATCCTCGCTAAAAGCCTAAAGCCCTTTGGTTTCTAGGAAATGAAAAGCCCCTTAGACAGATGTCCTTGTGAACAAGAGCTCTCTCTTACATAAAAGCAAATACTTCAGAAGAACTAGCCTGTGTCTTCATGTGACAAGGGTGTCTCTAGAACTGGTTTGTGGGACGAGAACAGAAGAAGCAATAATCAACAGCACACAGACTGCTAAGGGTTCATAAATCACATAATCCTCTCTCCCACAGTTCTCCCTCAATGCAAGCCAAAAGTTCCTGATGTTTCCAGGATGGGCTGAGTGCTTATAGCTTCTGTCTTTCTTACATGGACATTTTGGTAGTACTACTTTCACATCTTTTCATTTATTTGCTTCATCTGTAGATAGTGACCGGTCCTGATATGTGGATAGTAGCCAATCTTGACTTTGGCTTCTTTAGTAGGAATCAGACTAGTTTCACATTTTTACCACTTCAGCCCTTTCCTTATATCTTTCCTACCACAGTCTTATACATATCATTACCTGATTTAAGTATTTGGGTTCTAAATGTAATGAAAGCATTACAAAGTTTTAAATGAGGACATGATATCATCTGAAAAGTAGTAAATGAATATATTTTTTTCTCTGTATAGACTGATTTAACAGAGAAGAAGACAAATCCATTATATGAGAAAAGAAAACCAGTTGATAAAAAAATAAAGAGAAAAGTGGATTGGGTCAAACATATTTGTAGTGGATGTAGAACTCAGTTTGGGATGCAATTTGGAGGCAAAATTAATAAGTAATGAAAGAGGAGAAAATGAGCTCATCCTTGTCACTGTCACAACTGTGAATATAGGTGAAAGTGTTTACAGAATGAAGAAGCATCGGAAGAGAGAGGGAAAACAATCAAGAGTACTCTGACCATGCTGCTTCAGATTTTTAGTGGCTAACAGTGTGCTGTCAGTCAGGTGAAGCACTTACAAATACAGATGGGGATTTAGAGATCCTTAGTCTGCAGAAGATGCTTAAAGCTCTGATACTCTGTGAGTTCAATTTCGAAAAGTGATAGCAACAGTTATGGCCTACTGGGATACTTAAAGTAGGTGGTATATCTAACAAAAGAAATTGAAAGTGAAGTCTTGGTAAAGAAAGGGAATCTCAGTGAAAAGGAAGTAGTTAGTTATACATAATCCTGCTGAGAAACAAATGAAGAGAGGCAACCATTAGGAATGGTAGCTTCAAATCTCCCTGGCAGACTCTTCAAAAGGATATTAAAAGAGATGTCAGAAGAGAGCAAGTCAGGGAAAGTATGATATTGAGAAACCTTTGTCCTTCCTTCTTGTCTTTGATCAATACCATCCATTGTAATTCTAAAGCAGTGGACAGACCTTACATTTTGAGAACTTCAATCTACAGTGAAATTTGAAAAAAAACATGGTGATTGTTGAAAGCTTATAAAATGTTTAATGAATGTGCCATGGCATTTAAATGAAGTGGGGTCTTAAAATAAACATAGAATTCTGATATACTAAAATCTCATTAAATTGGTTGATGGTTTTACCATCATATAAAACAAAAAGGATAATAACCAAAACAATATTACTTAAGGAACAGTAGGTTTTAAAATAAATTGGAAAACAATATATCCTGGAAGAACCTATTATTTATATATTTAGTAAATATATGTATACATAATACCATTTATAGATACAATTGAGAGTTAATCATGTATAAAAAACACTAACACACATATACACACTTTTTCTACTTTTACTAATCAAGTTCTTTGAGATATACTATTTAATCTCATGGTGAATGAGATATCAACATCTTTTTACTAAGTGTCTGTCTGATGTAGTTGTCAAGGAAAATGTACCTGGAAGTGAACAGTATACTAATTTCAGCACTGCACAAAGGAAACATTTAAGAATCAAGTTTGACCTACATTCCTAAACAACAGCAATCGGTTAACAAGTGACACTGATTTTGGAAATGATGAGGAGACAACATACTAATGGGTTCCTGTGGCATGCCATTTGTGGAGAGGATGACTGGCTACAAAGCTAGCGTGCATGATTATTGCCAGTGAGTAAAACTATTGAACTAAAGGGAACTGGGCCAATGAGATGTCTCAGTAGGTAAGTGTGCTTTCTTTAAAGACTGGCACGCTGAGTCTTTCCTATAGTTCACATGGTAGAAAGAAAGAACTGACTACAGCAAGCTTGTTTTGTGATCTGGACTCATGGGTTGAAGCATGTGTACACATGCATAGACATAGTAAATAGCTAAATAAAAAATAAATAACTAAAAAAAGTTTTTAAAAAAGGTTCCACTTGTCTTGCGATAGATGGCTTTTGTAACAAGCATATTATGTCCACTTACTTAACTGAACAAATGCATATTTTCTTTCATGATAAAGAATGTGGGGAAGAAAATCTTTCAATTGGGACCTTATGTATACCTAGCATTATATATAGCACTTATATTTTACATTCATTTTCACTCTCATAATTTAAATTAGTAAAAAATATATTGAGCACTTGCTATGTGCAAAGCACCATGCTGAGGTTCCTTTGAATATATTCCTAAGAGATAAAGTAGCCCCAAATGATTTACTCCTTGTTTTAGCATGGATTCTCTGGTCAAATTCTGTTGCTGTCACCCAACAGATGTGGACACCAAACATTGCATTCCTACCAGCTCGTGACCCCCATCTTCATCGAAGTCCTCCTCTACCCCATCAGTCATTTCTCCTCCATCCGCTTCTTGCCCTCCTTCAGCAGGCTCCTCTGTGGAGTGGTCTGCATTCTCTGACACACACTCGTCTTGGATCAGCTCTATACTCTCTTCCAATTGCTTCTTCTGAGCTTCTAGAGGGAGAAAGCAGATGACTACTACCTTGGGTTGCTAATGAGTCATTTGGAAAAACGATGAAAAGACAGGGAACTCTTAAAAAGAATAAGCTGTTAAAAGCATGTACAAGATGGGGAATATTTTCAGTGAATTTATTCAATACTTAAATTAAATGCTTACATTTGAATATGTTTACAAGTAAGCAATTTATTTAAAAATTAAATTGGAAAAAATTAGGGTCTTAAGATGGTGAGAATATATAAATGTTTACATAAGTATACTGATCTTCCTAAATATTTCATTTTTTATAAGACTCTAAGAAGGTTAGTCTCTCTGGGTGAAAAATAGTGATGACAAACTGCCTAGAACCACAGTCAGGATTCATTATTTAATGGGAGTATGGTGCTTTGCAAGGAAGACATGATTAACCTGTCATGTGCCTATTTTCTCTTCTTTCCACATGATAAGTGTTTCCTAAACTTTTAAGATTTGTTGTAGGAAATAAAAGTGCTATCACAGTAGTTTGCAAATAATAAGTGCTCAACAAGAAAGGCTACACTCCATACTAACAGAATTCCCTCTGTTTGCAGAAGCTCATACATGGAAGTAATTATTTCTCTCCTGGTTGTTTTTTCTCCTATGAACATGTCAAGCAGCACTGGACAAATAGGAAAACATCCTGTTTTTCTCTCTGCAGCATTCCTGTGTGTTCACAACTCTCTTAAAAGCTATGTTGGTTTTATTAATTGTGCTTACTGTTATTTTTAATAAATTAGTATTGCATTGTTTGATTAAAACTTTAAATAGGCTTTATTTGATTTTACTCATTTTTCATGACAATAAAAAAACTTAGTAAAAGTCTGTAACATTCATTTCATATTATTTTTTTCATAATGTGAATAAAGAAGAAACTAGCCATTGATCTTTAAATTTTGACTCAACACAACAATCTTTGAAAAAATGTGTTACATAACTATTAGAGGTAACTATTCTACACATTGTTGAATATCATCACAGCAATGATTTCTGTAAATAATATGTGTCTATGCATTCTTCCTTTTCAGTCATCCAAATAATAGATGTGGTTAAAAAAAGACAAAAATGCAGATGAGAGGGCTCTAATTCTACTCAAGTTTCTTAGAAGTGACACTGTAGTAATCAGGGATCATCCTAAGTTTTCCCACATGGTTACATCATAAAAATCCATGAACTTTGCTCTGAAGATTAACAATATGTTAACAATATTAACAATAGGTATGTGGAAAATGTTTTATAAACTGACAAAGATGGCATACATGTATTCAATTGCATTAAAGGGGACAGTGCATTCACACACACACACACACACACACATATATATATGCATGCCTTAATACTAACAAAAGTATCAGTTTGTATCAAGGAATGGTGGCTAAAAATCTTATGCAATCAGACCTTGCTTCATAATAATTATAATTAGAGTAAATGATTAAAGCAGGAATATTAAAAATGACCTCTTTTTTTTTCTTGGTATATTCACAGAACCTATTTCTTTCAATTAATTAGCCTCAAAGACCATGTAACCAAAGACCATGTCAAGATGAGCTTCATGTCCGTGTGTACATAGGATGTACTGGTAAAAGCTGAAGCACTGTGGATTTTTCCTTCTTTCCTACAGCCATGTGATTTTTACCAGGGAAAGTACTCTGAGGGTCACAAAGTAGCTCTTATATATCTAGCCAAAAGAGTTTGATTTGCTTTTTCTAAATCTAAGTAACTGCTATCAAAATTATATTAGAACTGTTGTTCAGTTGTTTAACCGGTGACTCCTTAGTGTTTGAACTCCAAGGGAAATATGACATCTATCCTCTCAAGGTCATTTCCAGGCTCATAGAGCAATACAGATATTCACTGCAAACTGAGGTTTATTTACAGGCAATCTGTTTTATGCTCTATTATTTTATATGCACGGTAAGTAGTAGTGATGCTGTAAGTTATTAGAATTTAAGACATAGGGTTCATACTACTGCTAGTTACTATTCCTATGAACTTTAGTTTTCTTCTCCGAAAGGTAAATGAAAATATAACAGTGCATTCCCAAAGTCATTGTTTTCTTGAATGAGGAAAAGGTGTGAATATGTCTTGAATTGCAGAGACTACACAAATACATCAGCATAAAAGCTCAAAACAGTTTACAGTGAACCATTTATTGATTATTTGATTAGTTTACAGAAATCTTTCTCATCAAAAACCTCTACTTCTGATTTTTTAAGAACCTATTGAAGACATTTCACATTGACTTTTACATGGCCTTCTTACTTTTGTCTAAATAAACAAAATCTTAAGTTACACTCTGGCTTTTGTACACACTATGCCTGTAATTCCTCTGCGAGTATATTTCAAAGCTAACAGGATATTACTATTGTTCAAAGCTAGAAAGAAAACCTGTAAGTTATCCTCATCCATTCATTCATTAACCTGAAACCTTAAATGTTCAGGAGAAAGTATCTGGGTTGAAAATATAAGCCCCTTAAATATAATGGTAATTGATTCATGGGATTTAACAGTTTAATCAAAATTAGGCAGGCTTGGATTTTTGTAAGGTGTAGTCAGCAGAGACCTTTGTAATTGGCTCACTGAAAATTATCACATACCAAATACCACATGCCAAGAATAGAATCCATGAATAAATCAGACATTAAAGCATAGTTGTTCACTAAGCTGCAGCTATGTAGTTTAATAGCATCAATTTTCATGTAAAAAATCTTGCTGAAATGATTTTCTATGGATAATTATCCAATTTATTTCTTTTAGAAATGAATAATACTGTTTGGTTTAATGTAAATTTTGTAGCATTTATTTTATCTGCATAATTCTTTTTGTGAACATGTGGAAAATTGCATTTGTTTGTGTTTGAGGGTATGAATGCACATGTGAGCATTTTTAAATATTAGGAAATTCTTCTTGCAGAAATACTTGCATCCATCTTTACATGAAAACATTTGTTGAATGTATTCATGAGTTGTGGCGAATACAGTAATAAAATCTTCTGTCTACATTTTAAATCCTTTCTATATGAACAAAATGGCAATTGAATTTGGTACTATGATAGCAAAATGGTAGTTCTGAGGATTCAAAATAAACATTCTTGCCACATTCTGTACCAATATTGGCTCTGAGATATTCTATAGGATAATTGTTTATACGTTTACTGACAATTCTTCAAAAGAAAAAAATAAATGTATAGCATTCATGGAAAAGTGCTACTTTTATATTTTGGCATGTCTTGGAGCCTTTCTGTTGGTTTATTTATGTTAAAGTGATGAATTCTTTTCTGAGCAGAGAAATGAGTTAATCTTAAAATGTTTTTTAAGAAGTGTGGATCAGGGCTAAAAAAAGCTAGCAATTAATGCCAAATATAAAATCTGGGAATTTTCTAAAGTATAAAATTAATGCAGAATGAAAATATTTATAACGACAACATGTTTGTGAGGTAGTGAGCTCTTCTGGAGTGCTGGGCTTAGAGTAGTCCTGAGCACTAGCTTGGGACACACTTCAACACAGTATTATGTTTACTGTATACATGGGGAAATTGTTGCCTAAATAAAGCAAGTGAGAGTAGGAATCCACAGGAAGACTTCAGAGTGGACAGGCTCAGCAGTCTCCTAATGCATCCAGGATACAGAGGTGCTTATTTGGCATTCAGGGAAAGAGTACTTTGCATTTCTTCAAAGAGGAGATAATCTCCAATTTCAAGAACTAAAAAATCCATTCAGTTATGGAATATACTTTAGCTAAACAATGACTATCAAAGGAAAAGAAATGCAAATGTTTGGTGTTTCTGATTAAGGGGAAATATTTATGGCTCCAAATGAGATAAAAAGAAGTCATTTGATATTAAATTTCTGTTCTGATATGAAAATTTGTTTCATTTTGCTTTTTCCCTCAGCATATATTGCTTCACTTTGAAAGCAGCATGTGTTTCAGGAAACGAGTTACAGTTGTTGGGATTTCTCATCAAAGCCTCTTTACTAAACTGTGTTTTCTTCACAGTTATTACTAATATGACTGAAAATTGGATGAGGTGGCAATCAAGCTTTTTGACATGCTGGTTTAATTACCAGCTAAACTGTACTTAGCAGAGGACAGAAAGGATTAATGATACAAAACCACTTCGCTTATTTATTATAGCCAAGTAAGTAACTTTTGCAATCAATATTTTCCAAAGTATTATTAAACTTATTTTTAAAAGATTCTACTTTAAACATTTTTATGAATTTTGATTCAGTTATTAAAAATGCTGCTGCTAATTATCCAATTAATTATAGATGTTATTGCTAATAACCACAGAAATATTACATATGAGAAATGCATTTTGATTAAAATATTAGTTTTTTAGAGAGAATTAACACAGAGTTGTTCATGTGAAATGCAAAATAATTTAATCTAATCAAAAAATAATATGCTTAATTAAATATTGGAATTGGAAAGATACTGTTTCTCTCATTTTGTAAATTTTTTATTAATTTTTATTGAGCTCTACATTTTTCTCTTTCCCCTCCCTGCCTCTCACCTCCCCTTCAACCCTCCCCCAAGTTTTTGTAAATTTTCTGAGGACTTTTCCAAATGTCTCAGAACTAGGTAGTTAGATTCAATCTCTGAGTGGTGTGCTTGCAATTTTGTCTCCCTTCTGTCTGGAGCCTTCTGTTTCAGTAATGTGAATCCACCTCCCATATGAAAAAATGAGCCTGGGAGAAAACAAACAAGAAGTGGTATTTCTTAGGGAGTGAAAATGTCTTAAGTGAACTTTGGTTGTGGCTGCATCATTCAGTAAAATTATCAAATCATTAGATTATAACCTTGAAGTGAAGTATATGTGAAGTATATCAACATGTGTATTAAAGAACTATGAGCATGGCAAAGCAATCAACAAAGGATATGGGTTGAGTACAACTAGCAAAAGAGAGTTTGGGAAACATTAAGTAGCTGAGTAATAGAAGATAGTGCTGACATTTGTGAATGGAATTGACAAGATTTA